GAAAAAGTTCCTAGAACTTCCGAGAAGTCGATTGAACTACAGGTAGTCCTACGAAATTCATCGGAGCTCTCCAAACTTCAGGGATTTTCCAAGAAATTAAGGAAAGATCCACAAACTTTTGGAAAACCCTTCGATATTTAAAGCTTTATGAATTTCAGAGAAGCTATTCTAAATTTAGGGTCCTCATATATTCAATTAAGTCCTTCAAACTTCAGGGAAGTCCTCAGATCTTCAAGAAAGTCCTACGAACTTCGTGGTACTTCTACGATATTTAAGAAATTCATATGAATTTAAAAAAACTCCGAACTTCAGGGAAGCCTTAAGATCTTAAAAAAAGTCATTCGAACTTCGGGGAAGTCCCATGAAATTCAGACAATACAAATTGCAATGAACCCTTCAGGAAAGACCTTAACGCTTCAGGGAAGTTCTACGAACTTTAGGGAGTTTCTATGAACTTCAGCAGTCAGTCTTTTTAATAATAAGAGTTATTAAACAAGCGTTGTTTATGAAATCTTTTAATCACCAACCTTGAGATAAACTAGTCCATTGGCTAAAAATCTCAATAATAAAGTTAAAAAAATCGCAGTTTCAAAAACAGAAATCTTAAGATTTAGGGGCTTATAGATCTGTAAATTTCAGACATTAGATATGGCTCCGCGCTAGTCCGTCGTATCTCAGCTTTTCTTCGTCATACACCCCTAGAATCGCTCATTTTACGGGGTATTGCAAATGTTTCAGTGTCAATCGTAATTAATCTTATAAGCAAAGATGTTTTTGCAATTGCAGACTTCACTTACGCTTTGCTATTTTAGCACATAGAAAGGAAATAGGCGCCATGATACGACGAAGTAGCGTGGCTCCCTACTAGCTTCCTAACAGCAAACGATCAGATAAAGATTTCACGGGCATTCATAAGAACCTTAATAACTATTTTGGTTTGTGAAATTCCGCATTGCGTGAAGAATGATGGTACAAGGATTCACTTTGTTTTTTTTTATTAAAAATTGTATTTAATCATGGTTTCTAAAACCAGGAAATTTTTAAATTATTGACCAGGAAAACCAGGAAAAAACCAGGAATTTCAAAATGGAAATTCACTTGCCACCCTGAAATTGGAAACTAATTTTGATAGGGATAGGAACTGCATTTGTAATTTTGATTGTTTTATCTTCAATTATAAATATTGAAGCCGCCTAATTTCAAAATTTATAATATTGAATAGAATCTTTGTTGATTAAGAAATTGAATTTATAAATCATTCATTATGTAATTATTATTTAATTGAGTAACAAAACCAATCTCGTAGTCCTAATGCGGTCGTGCCTCGGACACAACCCTTATCTCTTTTGCCTGATTTTCTATCATGTTAATAATAAATGCTATCCGACAATAATGACTCTATAATGTGGAGGAGCCTCAGATTGAACCTATGATCTTCTGATTTGTAATACAGGTCGCCACTAGTTCACCAAGCCTATCATTTCATAACCAATCGCTTATGATCAAGTTGTTGTCAAACACTATGACGGTGACGTCAAACACTCAAAATTCACAGAGGAAAGGTTTCACTTTTCTTACCGAGAATCGCAGATTTTTAGTTATCTTGAAAACAATACCTATGTTTAGTTTTCCGTGTCATTGTTTGATCGAACGCGATGCGTTTTGCAAACATCGGTTCGGAAGTCCAAAATTGCGCGATTTGTTTTCACAAACCCCGCTGACAAAGCTTTCAAGTTTCGGGAAAGTCTTCTTAAGATGGCCTATCCGATAACTACCGATAAAAGTTTTGAGAAGCTACCGATAATGAAAAAAAAATCTGGTCACCCTAACAACGAGTAAGCAATGTGACCCTTAAGCCATTCGACACCCTACATCAATGGAAAATAGTCGTTAATCGGTAGTTGATGTTCGGTAAAATATGTTCAATGTATTCAACGCAACCGTGTCAAGGAAGCAACTTTTGAAACTCTTCTATGCAATTTAATTCAATTTACTTAATTTCTGTTTTAAATTCAATGCATACATCACCCAGATCAACGAAACGACAGAATATTGCATCTGTAAAGTGGCTGGTAAATATTGCATCTGTAATGTGACTGGTTAAAAACGCTCTTGGTTTGTTCCCGATCGGCTTGAAAATCACATCTCGGAGACTCTGAGCACCGTCGGAATAGTTGAAACGGAATTAGAAAACGAACCCTTATTCCGAGTTTCTTATCCCAAGGAACATTGCAAGTTTTATCTAAGTTTTAAAGTATTCTTCAAGTCTAAATCATGGTCTATAAAACCATTATAAGCCCAAAATTGTTACTTGGGATGCAATCGCATGAAACTGGTGCTGTGAATATAGCATTGCGAAATGCGCAAACTTTTGTAAAATTGAATTGAAACGAGCTCGAAAAACCATGGAGATGAGTTCCAAGTTGTAAATGGCAGCCACGTCGGGGTTTCTCTAACAAAGACATCAATTTCAAGTACCTAAAATCACAGTCACAAGTAGCATGTCGCAGAAAACAAACTACCTTAGCACTTGATGTCAAAGCAACAAATCAAGATTTTTGAATAATAATTGTCAACTGATGAATGTGGGCGTCTTAGTGGAATACCTGTATAAAGAATACTTCTTCAGTGTCTTGTCGAGAATTAGTGCAAGACACTGTGTCCGCGATCAAACGCTCCCAGCGAGAAGTGAAATTTCCTACGACGCAATTTGTTTCTAGAACATTCCATGCAAAGAAGAAGAAGAATATTTTTTCCTTACGACGGCGCGTGTGATTGGTGTTTGGTCGGGTCGCGAGTGTGTATATATACCGGGCCTGTTCACGCGTATCGTTTATTAGTAAACCAGCAGTCTACAAGTGACTTAATACAGAAGCAGTAACAGAAGAAACCGGAAGCAGACTAGCAGCAGCAATAACTGTACCCAGCGGTGCTGCATTCAGGAGCAGCACTTCCCTGTAGAGAACAATAAATCAAAGTAGAGCAGCAACGAACTTCTTTCACTAGTCCATCCTGGTCATCCGTGTCCTTCATCGGTTCCGTGGTAATTGTGTCACAAACGGCCCTTTTCATGGCCCCAGATCTTTCTTCTTTCGTGATGCACATTACCCTCGGGCCATTACTACACTGTTGGCGTTCCGATCCAGTCCACACCTGATTGCATTGTGTTCATGGCCGAACATAAATTGGTCCTTCGAACCGGATACGAAACTGTTGCGAAAAAGTATTCGCCGACAGCGCTTAGGACAGCAGTGATTGACAACGTAATCATCACTTGGTGAGTAGAAGTGAAAATTGTGCTGCGTAGAAGCGCTCACTGGCAGCGTGTGTGCGAAGACAAGTGTGCCATTGTAGGAGGCATCCGATTGTACAGTATCCACCGTCGCATAGTGTATGTATCCGTTACCTCGGTTCGTAGTATCCTTCCGTGGCGACAAACGCGTCGGTTCGTGTGCTTCCATATCCGTGTGAGTTGGTGTCTAGTCGCGAAATTTAGTGTACGTATTCCTTCGTCGTGACACCTTGAGACAGTGTGTTCGGGTTTAATCGTAGCGGATTCTCTGAGAACGTTATCCACCGTCGCGACAAACCTGAAATATCATTCCGTCGGGTAACAGTGATTTTTAGTTCGAAACATTGTGCTACCCCACCCACCAACCAAGAAGATGGGCATCCAGGAAGAATTGAAGTTGCTGATCCACAAGCGAGGCCAAGTGAAGGCTAAGCTGACACGGATTCACAACGCGTTAACGGCAGCAAAGGAAAGCAGGGAAAGGCCATCTTTACCGCAACTCCGAGTTCATGCCAAGAACCTAGCAGTAATCTACAAGGAATACAACGATAACCACGATATGGTCATCGCATCCGTATCCGAAGATAGTGTCAAGACCCAGGAAGACAAGTATGAAGAGTTCGAGAACCTGTACAACGGAACCTCTATCGTGATCGAGACGTTGATCGATGTCATTGAGAAGGAGAACCGAGCGAATGCAGCCATGCCCATGCCGTCATCGTCATCTGTAGTGAACCAAATGGCGAATCAACCTGTTATCCTTCAGCCGCAATCTTTTCGAACACCCTTACCAACGTTTGATGGACGGTACGAAGCATGGCCTAGATTCAAGGCTATGTTTCAGGATCTAATGCGTCATTCCACGGATTCTGATGCAGTGAAACTCTATCATCTCGAGAATTCTTTGAAGGGTATTGCAGTTGGTGCCATCGACCTGGAAACTTTGCAGAACAATAACTACCAACGTGCCTGGGATATCCTGGAGGAAAGATTTGGCAACCAACGCCTGATCTTAGAATCGCATATTCTAGGCCTCCTGAATCTGAAAAAGATGACGAAAAAGTCTTCGAAGGACCTCCGGAACCTCGTTGATGAGTGTTCCCGCCATGTTGAGAATCTAGTTAAGCTCAACCAACAGCTTACTGGGATGTCCGAGCTATTCGTAGTGACTGTGTTGACTCGAGCGTTGGATGACCAGACCCGTGAATTGTGGGAAGCTTCCATCGATCAAACACAGCTCCCTGAATACGAGCCAACGATCGTTTTTCTGAAGCAGCGTTGCGTTATCCTGGAACGGTGTGAGAAGAGTACTCCAGAGTCGTCAAGTATTAAGATGATGGCCCAGAAGACATCGTTCCCTAAGGTTATGCCATCCAAGGCTTCACATCCAGCGTCAGTGACATCACTATATTCGTGCGACTTCTGTTCAGAGCAACATCAAAACTATAAGTGTCCAACATTCCAGAAGATGACCACAGAACAGAGAGTGGCTAAGGTGAAGGAAGTAAACCTGTGTTTTAACTGCCTACGAAAAGGCCATCGCAGTGCAGTGTGTTCCAGTAACAAATCATGTACGAAGTGCTCCAGGAAACATCACACATTGGTTCATTTTGAGCAGCGTGAGAAGCCGGAAGTGATTTCCAGTGAAACACCAAAGGTACCCGAGGAGAACAAAGCGCCAACGATTGAACAACCTGTGCATGCAACCTGTTCTAGCAGCGGTTATCCACACAAGCAAGTGTTCCTGATGACAGCGATGGTGTGTTTGACATCGAATAACGGACAAACTCAACAAGTACGAGCATTAATGGATTCCGGATCGCAGATAAATCTACTTGCTGAACATGTTGTGCAACGGCTGAAACTTCCAAAATATTCGACCAATGTACCTGTTATCGGTGTTGGAGGTAGCAGATCCCATATCCGTCACAAGGTGGTGGTACGAATGACATCCAGCTGTAGTGATTTTGCCACCAACGTCGAATGTCTCGTTACTCCGAAGGTGACAGGCACCATTCCGTCTGCACGTGTGAACATTGATTCTTGGAACATCCCTCCCGGTATTCTACTGGCTGATGCTTCATTCTGCAGTCCAGGTGAAATAGACATGCTGATTGGAGCTGAATTATTTTTCCACATCCTAATGCAAGGTCAGATAAAGATGTCCAATCGATTGCCGACGTTGTACGAGACTCAGTTCGGATGGGTTGTAGCCGGTTCATACGAGGAGCCAGAGGAAGATAATCCAGTGTGTGCCAACATTGCTATGACTGACGGTTTGGAGGCGTGTATGCAACGATTTTTCGACCAGGAGGAAATTACCGAAGCCGCTATTATGACCAGCGAGGAGCAGCGTTTCGAAGAACATTATCAGCGAACTTACCGTCGCGATGAAAATGGAAGATTTGTGGTCCAGCTACCCTTTCGTGAATCTGTGAACCAACTAGGAGATTCCAGGTCGTTAGCCTTGAAACGGTTCCTGCTATTGGAAAAGAAATTGGCGAGAAATCCTGATCTGAAAACTCAATACGCAGCCTTCATCGAAGAATATAAAACCCTTGGTCATTGTCGCGAGATAAAAGAGGACGAAGATTCAGCAGGTATCCAGACATATTATTTGCCTCACCATTGCGTCCTGAAGCCATCGAGTAGCAGCACCAAATTGCGCGTGGTATTTGATGCGACAGCGAAAGCAAGTGGTCTATCCCTGAACGATGTGCTGATGACTGGTTCGAACAGTCAAAGTGACTTGTTTTCCATCGTGTTACGTTTTCGAACCCACATTATAGTTTTCTCTGTGGATGGTTCGAAAATGTACAGGCAAATTCTTATAGATCCGTCCCAAACGCGGTACCAACGAATCTTTTGGCGTGGTAGTCCATCAGAAGCGCTACAAGTTCTGGAGTTGCTGACCGTTACTTATGGGACTTCGGCAGCTTCCTTCCTTGCGGTGAGGTCACTAATCCAGTTAGCTCGTGATGAGATAGCTAATCATCCAGAAGCGGCCGAGGTAATCTTGTACGACTCGTATATGGATGACATTTTGTCTGGCGCAGAAACAGTTCAACTAGCCAAGAAGCTACGTCAGGACCTTGAAAAATTAATGCTGAAGGGTGGATTTCCGGTGAAAAAGTGGTGCTCTAATTCGGAGGAAGTACTAGATGGAATTCCTGAGGAAGATCGTGAAACCCTAGTATCGATCCAGGATTCCAGTGCCAACCAAGTCATCAAGGCTCTAGGTCTCCTGTGGGATCCGAAGAAAGACCAGTTCCTGTTCCGTGTAGCAGTTGATCCTGTAGAAGATAGTAAACAAGTGACGAAGCGATCGGTCCTATCCCAGATAGCAAAAGTTTTCGACCCCTTGGGACTGTTAGCTTCCGTGATCGTCGAAGCGAAAATGATAATGCAGTGTTTGTGGGCCTGCAGTGTAGGATGGGATGATCCGCTTGATGGTGAGATTCTTCACCGATGGGAAGAGTTCCAGACATCCTTAGATGAACTGAGCAACATAGAGATTCCGAGGTGTGTCGTGATTCCAGAACCAGAAGCCATAGAGGTTCATGGATTCGCCGATGCTTCCCAGGCAGCATACGGAGCCTGTCTGTACCTCCGTTGCATTCGACCAAATGGATCAGCTGTATCTCACCTCCTGTGCAGCAAATCCAAAGTAGCCCCACTCCGTGCGATGACCATTCCAAGATTGGAGTTGAGTGCCGCCTTATTGCTTGCTAGGTTGGTAGAAAAGGTAGTTCCGATGATGAAGGTTTCGAGTCGACAAGTGAAGCTGTGGAGTGACAGCCAAATAGTACTGGCTTGGATCAACAAACCCTTGGATCGGTTGCAAGTGTACATTCGCAATCGTGTAGCCGAAATCAACCGCTTGACTGAAGATTATCAATGGAATTATGTGAGTACCAATCAGAACCCGGCAGATATTGTATCTCGAGGAATGAAACCAGTCCAATTGAAGAAGTGCGACCTGTGGTGGAATGGATCACCCTTCCTTACTGTAGCTGACTATGTGACGGAGCAGATTGAAGAACTTTCAGAACATGAGATTCCTGAGCTGAAAGAGGCAGCTGTCGCCAACCCAGTTGTTCAGAAATCCTGTGATCCTGTGCTCGAACGGTTCAGTTCATTTAACAAGCTCCAACGTGTTTTGGCACAAGTGGTACGATTCCTGCGTTTAGTCCGAACTCCTCGGGAGAATAGGAAACCATTCAATACATTAACTGTTCAGGATATGCGTAAGGCCGAGAATTTCATAATCCGTATGCTGCAACAGAGTCAACTACAGAAAGAGATCCAGTATATCCAGCGTGGTGAACTACCAAAGCAGCTTGCTACGTTGCATCCATTCATAGACGAAGACGGACTGTTGCGCGTCGGGGGGCGCCTGCATAACTCGAAGTTGCCTTACAATGCCAAACATCAACTGTTGCTTCCCCAGAAACATCCAGTTACAGAAATGCTTATCAAAAAGCTCCACGACCGACTCCATGAAGGTCAATCCGGTTTGTTGGCAACCGTACGACAAAAATTCTGGATAACAAATGCGAGATCTATCATTCGTAAGGTTATCCACAATTGCATTAAGTGTTTCCGGGCAAAACCACTGATCATCCAGCCATCAATGGGCGTTTTACCGGAATCACGAGTTACCATTAGTGCACCATTTGAGTTAACTGGTATCGATTATGCCGGACCCATATTCGTAAAGGAAGGTAGGCACAAGCCGAAGGTAGTGAAGGCGTACATTGCTTTGTTTGTTTGCCTAACATCAAAAGCAATCCATCTTGAGCTTGTGTCAGACTTAACGTCGGAGGCGTTCCTTGCCGCACTCGATCGCTTCATTAACCGTCGAGGTATGGTTCGCAAGATCTTGTCAGATAACGCAACAAATTTTGTTGGCGCCTCCAAAGAACTTCGACAATTACTTAAAATGTTCAACGACCAAATGGAAAGGAGTAAAATTAACGATTTCCTGATCAGCCGTGAAGTGGAATGGGAGTTTATTCCGCCGAGATCGCCTAACTTCGGTGGTCTATGGGAAGCCGGAGTGAAGATTGTCAAGTCACATCTCACGCGGACTCTGGGAAACGCTACCCTAACATTCGAGGAGTTCAGCACCGTGCTAACACACATCGAAGCTATTGTGAACTCTCGTCCACTTTATGCTACATCCAGTGATCCAAACGACCCACAACCAATATCTCCGTCTCATTTGATGCTCGGTCGAGGACTTGATCCGGTTGCTAAACCATCTTATTTGAATGTTCCTGCAAATCGTTTATCGAGATGGCAGTACCTCAACCAACTCCGGGATCATTTTTGGAACAAGTGGTCTCACGAATATCTTTCAACATTACAGTCAAGAGCAAAGTGGACCAAAAAGCAGCCTAACATCGAAATTGGAACTGTAGTTCTGTTAGTCGAAGATAATCAACCATCACAAGCTTGGAAACTTGGACGGATCAAAGCTGTCTATCCAGGGAAGGATGGAGTAGTGCGGGTTGCTGATGTAAAGACAACGACCGGTGTGTATCGGCGAGCAGTGAGTAAGCTGGCACCACTTCCTCTGCAAGACGACAACGTACAACATTCAGATGATTTGGAATAACATTCCAACGGGCGGGAGTATGTCCGCGATCAAACGCTCCCAGCGAGAAGTGAAATTTCCTACGACGCAATTTGTTTCTAGAACATTCCATGCAAAGAAGAAGAAGAATATTTTTTCCTTACGACGGCGCGTGTGATTGGTGTTTGGTCGGGTCGCGAGTGTGTATATATACCGGGCCTGTTCACGCGTATCGTTTATTAGTAAACCAGCAGTCTACAAGTGACTTAATACAGAAGCAGTAACAGAAGAAACCGGAAGCAGACTAGCAGCAGCAATAACTGTACCCAGCGGTGCTGCATTCAGGAGCAGCACTTCCCTGTAGAGAACAATAAATCAAAGTAGAGCAGCAACGAACTTCTTTCACTAGTCCATCCTGGTCATCCGTGTCCTTCATCGGTTCCGTGGTAATTGTGTCACAAACGGCCCTTTTCATGGCCCCAGATCTTTCTTCTTTCGTGATGCACATTACCCTCGGGCCATTACTACACTGTTGGCGTTCCGATCCAGTCCACACCTGATTGCATTGTGTTCATGGCCGAACACACTGACTGAAGGGTCTGGACGTTGTATACAAAATACGCGTATCTGTCTAAGATAAGCAAATAAGGTAGTGGCATTAAATGGAAATTACTAATCCTTCTCTCTTTCTTTGGGCAATCAAAAATTGTTACGTTACCCGTATTATAATAAGAGAAAATTCGATTTATATGCATCTGGTTGACTGAGCGGAACTTGACTTTCAAGTTCCCTGGATAAATTGTAGAAGTTCGCGTATTTGGACTAATTGTCCATCCTGTAATTTCATTGCTTTCCAATTTCACCATTGAAGACTTACAAAAACAGTGGTTATCTGCGTACCGCACTGATCAATGCAGGCGATAATAATATTGCTTTTGCACATTTCCTTATTTAACGTTTCTTCGATCGCTTTACGAACCTGTTCAAGCCAATCGTAAGCAAGCACTGTAGGGGATTGAATTGTCGCCAACCCAATTGTAATGAGGGTAATTACAGTAACTAATTGCCCACCTTTCACTGGCTTTACATAAATCACCTCATTTTCGTGGATTATGTCATACCTATATTTTGCGTAGAAAATTTGACACCCTTACTGACGACGACGACATTTGTCAGTGTCATTAAATATCGGTTTGTTTTGCGCCAGTTTCCAAATGCAAATAGTGTATACACAACTGAAAACTGTAGCCATATAAATTGATCAAACTACCCATGCAACAGACAACGACCCAGAGGGTACCTTTCAGTTAATCCACGGGACTGTTGTATATGTGCCATTACCTTTACGAGGCATCGAGTAGCCCACTCCAACACACACACACGAACCTATACGAACTTCTCCAATTCCAACAACTCATCACCTCGATCAAAGGAAAATGGCAACAAAAACAACAACAAACTTTCGTACTTCAACTCAACTCAATAATGGGACGACGACGCAAGGGGGGTAGGCTTATGAGGCAGGTACAGGTAGAGAGACGGAGGTAACATTCATGCAACGACCGAACCTGGCTCTGGCTTAAGCCAGCTAAACTAGGAGCAAAGGAACTCGGCAAAAAAAAAGCCATCATCGTCGTCGTCGTTGTCGTCGCCGCCGTCGGTCGTGGAGACCTTTGCACGGCCAACGTTGCTCTTGCCTCACACTTTTGTGGCTGCTGCCTATTGCAGACCCCTCCGCAATTGCCTTTCCCTAACGTGGCTATAACGCGCGGCATTCTTGTGCACGACCACGACGTTGTGCATGAGGTTTGCCGTAGGATGGTTCAGAAGGTTGGAAAGTTTGAAAATTTTTATCAGGATCGGTGCGAATTTTCTGCGAAAATTCTAGGAAATCTTTATCGAATTATGAAGATGTTTGAAGTTGTTCATAGAAATCTAAGATTTGAGCCTGACGTTCAATGAATTCATCCGAAATAATCAATTATTAGTTTTATGATGAGCATTACTAAACTAATGAACTCATGTTATACGGATAGCCAGTGATATTCAGATTGCTACTAAAAAATCACACATCTTCATTGGAATTTTGCTTTTAGTATTCCGGCTCTATCGAGCTCAAGAACTTCTTGAGGTTAACGAACTGGTCGAAAATCAGATTCTCGTCGATGCAGACATCTTTGTCCTTCAGGAACAGAACAGTTTTCTCAACGTCTTCATACTTAATCGTCGGATTTTGGAAAACAAGCCACTGGAACACCTAGAATCAATAAAGTATTAAGCATTGTGAGATCAGAAAGAGATTCAGTCCATTTCTCCAAATAATCTTTAGTTGCTCTGTAGACTTTCTGAGTAGCAACTTCGAATTTCAAACATTTTCGGTCCTCACCTTCCTTTCTGCGCTTTGACAGAGTTGATTTTATGCCTAGAGGTAGGAATTTAGCAGCAATTCTCTCCTCAACAGAATCACGCACTTCATCAATCGTTCGCGGTACCTCTGCTGAGCTTAAAGCTTAAATTTATTAACGTCTCTTTAAACTATTCCCCTGGTAGAGGAGAATTAAGTTCATTCGAGACGGCATAAGGCATCACCTTTCCGAGCTTCAAATAGCTCCCCAATGTCACTTACCCTCACACACCATTGTCTTTAGGACTTTAAAGACTACCCTCTTGTCAAAAAGAAGTGAGCTGACTGTACAAGTCATTTTCTTTCTAATGCCACTTCAACCTACATATGCTTTTATCAAGTCGTATAAGTCAACCGCCCGCAAGAAATTGGGTACAGTCTGTCCTGTACTCCGGTCGTTGTACAATACCTCACGAATTGAACCAACGACACCCATTTCTTCCCTCAATTGTGCTCGAGCCGGGCACTCCACTAATAGATGATTTACATCTAACACCGCACCGCAACCCTGGCAGTAGGCCACACTGCCGCTAAAACGTGGTCCGTGAGTGAGCCGTGTATGACCAATCCTCAGCCTAGTCAGAACTTTCTGATCTCGAGAATTGGGTACATCTTTCCACTCTTGTGTAGTGTTCTTGATTTTACGCAGGAATGCGAATCGCGAGGTCTGCTTCACCCAGCGGGTAGCGTCACTATAGGGCACCGAAGTGACCTGAGCAAGACGACCATGGTTAGCTAGCTTATCAGCAGCCTCATTTCCTGGTATACCTGCGTGTCCAGGTACCCATACAAAGGTTATGTTAGCGTACCGCTGCACCTTCCACAACCACGGGTGTCATAGGCCTCAGCTGAGAAGATACCACAGAGACTGGATAACCGGCCGCAGTGACTTATGGCCTACTCAGACACCCCATAACCAACTTCCTCGTCGATTAAAGAACCATCGGTAAATAGCATGCGCCTTCCCTCGTATGAGGCAGCAACCTCCCTGAACGCAGCTTTCGCCACACCAGAGCTGGCCCCGCCCCACACATAGCTTTTTTTTTTTTTTCCTTGTCGGGTATTTTCATCACTGCGACCATTTTTCTGATCTATTGTGATATATTCCCCATTTTTTTTTCTTTAGCTATATCAAGATGCCGTATCACTATTATTACGAGTGATCGCCATCGTTTGACTAATAGCATTATCCCAGCACGGCATTATACTTCGAATAAAGTGCACTGCCGTACTGGGAGTACTGTCAAAGGGTTCTATCAGCCCCTTGTCGAAGAACTTACGCCTTTTATTGAAAATTGCCGGACAGTGGCATAGCAAATGTTCCGAGTCTTCCTTTTCTATGCCACAGAAGCGACATACATAATCTTGAAGTTTTCCAATCAGCTTCAAGTGATAACGGCTCGAACAATGACCTGTTATAAGACCTGCATATATACTAAGATCTTTCTTAGAAAGTTCCAGGATTTTGTGGGTCACAGAAATGTTTGGATTAATAAATCGCTTCGACTGCCTAGCAATGGAAGTGTTCTTCCAGTTTTCCTCCACTTTTGAAGATTCCCACGCTTTTAGCTCCATTCTAAGAGATGCACCCGATAAGCCACAAAAGGGCTCTGGCCCGATGAACTTATGAGAAGATCCGAGTCTTGCTAGTGCATCAGCTCTTTCATTTCCCTCAATCCCGCAATGACCAGGAACCCAATATAAGTTGACTTGATTATGACAAGACAATTTTTGAAGTGATTGAACACACTCCCAGACAAGTTTTGATGTACATGTCGCCGACTTTAAAGCATTTAGAGCAGCTTGACTGTCGGACATGACGCATATATTTGAACTCTTATAGTTTCTACGCAAACATATAACGGAACACTCTAAAATTGCTTGGATTTCAGCTTGGAACACAGTTGGCCATCTGCCCATAGGAACCGATATTTCTATCCCTGGGCCAGTTACTCCTGCTCCCACTTGATTGTTCAATCTTGAACCATCTGTATAAAAAACAATCGATCCTGGACGAAGAACCGGGCCACCAAATTGCCATGAATTACGCCCAGGGTCAACTACTCGAAAAAGTCGATTGAAGTTGTATCTTTTCTCCATCCAGTCTTCGTTGTTCCTTACTAGAGAGTTGATACTAACAGTTTTTAGAATCGTAAGATGTCCTCTAAGGTCTCCTTCAAAGAGTTTCACTGACCTTGTAATCCTTAGAGCACACTTTTCGGCTTCTAATTGTACAAATTGATGCAATGGTAGCATATAAAGCAAAGCATCCAATGCCTTCGATGGTGTACTTCTCATTGCACCTGTTATTGAGAGAGTTGCTTACCTTTGGAGTGTTTCTAACTTTCTCTGAACAACACTCTCTTTTGTTTTTGGCCACCAGACCAATGCAACATAAGTAATCCTGGGTTTCACAATTGCCGAGTAAATCCAATGGATCATTTTCGGTTTCAGTCCCCACTGTTTACCGAATGTTCTTTTGCATATCCATAGAGCATTAGTAACTTTGTTTATTGCCTGCTCTAGGTGCATATTCCAATTAAGTTTACTATCGAGGATTACTCCAAGATATTTGACAGCATTAGAAAGTTCCAAAAGTGTGCCTTTCAATCTTATGTTGTCTAATGAAAATTTCTTCCTTCGGGTAAATGGCACGATAGTAGTTTTATGTTTAATCCTTCCCTATCACACCACGATGAGACAAAATTTAAAGCAATTTGCATTCTGTTAGCGATAATACAATCATATTTGCCACGTACAATTATGACTATATCATCTGCGAAGCCAATTATTTCGAAGCCATGGGCTATTAAATTTTTGAGAAGATCATCAACTATTAACGCCTCCTTGCGGGCATCCTTTGGTTGCTCTTACACTGATGAGTGAGCTTCCAAGGTTTGCTGATATTTCTCTTTTTGATAACATTTCATTGATCCAATTTACAATGCTTTGATCGAAACCACGTTTCATCATAGCTGTAGTCATTGAATCGTGAGATGAATTATCGAAAGCACCTTCAATGTCAAGGAATGCAGCAAGTGAAATTTCTTTTGCTTCAAAAGATCTTTCTAGTTTTGTAACAACCGTATGGAGTGCTGTTACTGATGACTTACCTTCCTGGTATGCAAATTGATATTTGCTCAGAGGATTTGTGACTAAATATGATGACTT